AGAAGAGGGATAGAGGAGAGGATAGGTGGAGAGGAAACAAACAGGTCAAAGAGGCGGGGATGGAGCCAGGAAAGGTGAGTGTAGGTAGGGAGTTAGGAAGGGGATAGGTCAGTCCAGGGAGGACGGACAGGTCAAGGGGGCGGGATGAGTTTGGTCGGTAGGAGATGGAGGTGCGGCTTGAGGTGGGAGGAGGGGATAGGTGGGAGGAAGAACAGGTTAGGGAGGCAGGGACGAGCTGGGTCGGTAGGAGATGGAGGTGCGGCATCCTGGGCCTCCTGCAGTGCCACAACGATGCCACCCGAAGGTTGCAGGAACAGCAACTCATATTCCGCTTGGGAACCCTGCAGCCCAATGGTAATCAATGTGGATTTCACAAGTTTCAAAATCTCCCCTCCCCCCACCGCATCCCAAAACCAGTCCAGCTCGTCCCTGCCTCCCTAACCTGTTCTTCCTCCCACCTATCCCCTCCTCCCACCTCAAGCCGCACCTCCATCTCCTACCGACCAACCTCATCCCGCCCCCTTGACCTGTCCGTCCTCCCTGGACTGACCTATCCCCTTCCTAACTCCCTACCTACACTCACCTTTCCTGGCCCCATCCCCGCCTCTTCGACCTGTTTGTTTCCTCTCCACCTATCCTCTCCTCTATCCCTCTTCTATCCGCCTCCCACTCTCTCCCTATTTATTTCAAAACCCCCTTCCCCTCCCCCTTTTCTGATGAAGGGTCTAGGCCCGAAACGTCAGCCTCTCTGCTCCTATGATGCTGCTTGGCCTGCTGTGTTCATCCAGCCCTGCACCTTGTTGTCTCGGATTCTCCAGCATCTGCAGTTCCTACTATCTCTAAATATATAGTAAGGTGTGTATTCTGTTGAACTTGATAGTTAGCATATTTGCATTCGAATAATAATGAAAAAAATACACTTAAATCAGTATATTTTAACATTGAGCCAATATGCTGCTTGTGATATGTCCTTAATGTACAGTTTCGAATTTTGCTATCTCTAGAGTCAAGACTACAACTAACCTAGCTTGATGCATCTCAAGATGTTCTCACCAGTCACTGACAAGTTTATAAGATTCTTCCATTTAGTTGGTTCAATTTAAAGAAATTCAAAAGCAACATATAGCAAGGTGATTTTTGGTGATTCAAGGATACCAAACACCTTTCTCGCAATCAGCACAATCAGTTAATTAAGTCTCTTTGAAAGGTTATAAAAAATGTTCTTAGCAATGTTAAATTCTATGTCCTATTAAAATTAATTATTTACAAGAAGCTTAAGATTTAATGTTACATAGGAAAGTTGTTTCCAACTGTTGTGATAGCCTTTCAAAATATAACTCATCGTTTGATTTCATAAAACCATGTGGCTTTGTCAGTTGTGCATGTCTTGGATGCATATTAAAGTTGGATTATGAATCTTCAAAGAGGTCCTTCTAGATCGAAGGGGATAAGATGTGTAAATCTCTAAGTGTAGCCTTAGTTTTGTATTTGGCTGAAATATTTAAGTGCAGAAATACTAAGCAGTTACTTCCATATGATGAGAGACTGCTTTGTTTCAAAAACTTGTCAAAATAAACAGTTAAAACCATTGTATCTTAAGCAAGTTGTGTGCATTAATCCATGTTATGCTGCACAGACTCTTTAGATCATCTAATTGTTTCAATCTATAACTTTATATAACAAAGTGTTTTTTTCCACTTCGTAGATTGGCTTCAGATGTAGAAGGCATTCCACCTAAATATCAGCAGACACTTATTATGGTCAGTGTTCATTTTTAGAACAGAGCTATTCTGACTCATGACAGAAGAGACAGAGAAAGATGCAAATTTCTGATTGCCAGCAATGTGGTGTCCTCCCGCAGGAAGAAATGATATTGGACACAAAAAGAGACACAAACAGAAGTTGCTGGAAAAGTTCAGCAGATCTGGCAGCACCCATGAAGAAAAAAATCAGAGTTAACATTTCGGGTCTGGTGAGCCTTCCTCAGAACTGATGGTAGCTGGGAAAATGTTGGTTTATATGCAGAAAATAGGGAGGGGGATGGAATAGGGAGTAAACGATACGATAGAGGCCAAAGAGAGAGAATAGCAGTTGGATAGACAAAGGAGTTGATAATGATCTGGCTAGGAGGGTGAATAACTATTAATCAGGACTGTTAGTCACTAACAATAGGTAGTGTGTAATGGCAGGCTATGTAATAACCAGGCCTGGTGTGTGGGATTGGGGGCTGCGACATGGGAGAATTTAGGCCCTAAAATTATTGAACTCTATATTGAGTTCGGAGGACTGCCAGGTCCCCAAGTGGAAAATGAGGTGTTGTTCTTCCAGCTTGCACTGAGCTTTGCTGGGACACTGCAGCAAGCCAGAGACTGAGATGTTGGCCAGGGACCAAGGTGGTATGTTAAAGTGGCAGGCAACTGGAAGCACAGGGTCCTTTTTTGCAAGCAGCATGTAGATGTTCTGAGGAGCAGTCATCCAGTCTACGCTTCGTTTCCCCAATGCAGAGGTGACCACACTGTAAGCAGCGAATGCAGTAGACTAGATTCTGGGAAGTGCAGTTGAAGTGTTGCTTCCCTTAGAAGGTATGTTTGGGCCCTTGGATAGTGGGGAGAGAGAAGGTAAATGGGCAGGTGTTGCACCTTCGGCGGTTGCAGGGGAAGGTGCCGTGGGGCTGTGGGGTGTTGGACGTGAAGGAAGGGTGGACCAGGGTGTTCCAGCGGGAACGGTCCCTGTGGAAGATGGACAAGGGAGGGGAGGGGAATATGTGCCTGGTGGTGGCATCTTGCTGGAGGTGGTGGAAATGGCGTATGATGATCTTTTGGATGTAGATGCTGATGGGATGGTAGATGCGGGGAGGAAGAGAAGGGGTGAGGGCGGAAGTGCGGGAGATGGGTCGGATCCAGTTGAGGGCCCTGTCAACAATGGTGCTGGAGAGTCCTCGGTTGAGGAAGAAGGTGGATATTTTGGAGGCTCCCTTGTTGAAGTTGGCCTCAGCTGAACGAATGCGACAGAGATGGAGGAACTGAGAGAATGGGATGGAGTCTTTACAGGAAGTAGGGTGTGAAGAGCAAGTTTCTTTCTCAAAAAGAGACAACTTGCTTTTATTTGGCGCCTTGAAAGCAGTCACGGCACTTCACATAAGCATAAATGGACAGAACGTTTGGGCTTATTAACCTCGGTTTCTAAGAAAATGAAAAATGGAATGAAAGGTGGAGGAAGGGAGATTTAGAATACCTGAGCTTAGCAGTGAAATGGCTGAACACAGTGCCATTTATTTGCCAAAGGGAGTGGCAATGTGCAAGAGACCATGTTTGGAGGAGATCAGAGTTGTATGACAAAATTTGGAAGGGGTCAAGCTGTGGAGAGATTTGAGCACAAGGATGAGAATTTTAAAATTGAATTATTGGTGGGCTGGCAGCCAGTGTAGGTTAGTGAGCATGGGTAATGGCGTAGAGGAGCTTGATGCATTTGACAAGACATGCAGCAGAGCAATTAAATAATCATGTCTAGAGTAAGAAAGCCATACGTGAGAATTACAACAGTAAGAGTTGAAATGAACAGAACCAAATGATACAGATATCAAGTGAGATAATGAGAGTATAAACCTGGTTCAACTGAAGGCCGTGATCAGGGAGGGAGTCGGAGTTGGTGGCAAGGGTGCAGGTTTTGTTTCAGGAGGCAAACATATTGGCTTTGATCTTGCTGATGTTTAATTGGGAGAAGTTTTGGCCAACACGGGATTGAATATTGGGCAAGCAGTCTGGCAACACAGAAATTAGAGGCCCGAGATGGAGTTGAATGTCACCAGTGTACTTGTGGAAGCTGATGTTATGTCTTCATCGAGGGACAGTATTTAAGTGAGAAATAGGACTGAACAAAGAATTGTTTCATGGCAGAGTCCAAGAATAGCATTGTGTGAATGGGAAAATATGTAATTTCAGGAGATTCTCCTGTTACAATGGAATATGTAAGCATGGAACCAGGTGAGGTGGTTTCATTCCTTTGGACAACAGAAAGGAGGCAGTGGTGGACAGTGGTACAGTATTAATTGTCAAAGACTGCAGAGAACTTATGAAGAATCAGGAGCAACTTTACCTTAGTGAAATAGAATGTCATTTGTGACATTGATACAGGGTCACTTCAGTGCTGTAATGGGGAGGAAACCTATTTGAAGAAGTTCAAATGTAGAGTTATGAGGAAGTTGGGCACAGATTTAAAGGCTGTCAGCACATTCAACGACTTCACAGAGGGAAGGAAGTTTTGGAGTTTAGATGGTAGCTTGCAAAGACGTGAATAATGGATGTTTATTTTGGAAGAGTGGGTCAGTCCCTGAGGAGTGGGAATCATTTATATTATCAGCAAGTATGGTCAACTGTTTAATGGGAATAGGGTCAAGAAAGGAGGAGCAGGTCAGATGGGCTCGGAGATGATGGGATAGGAGAGAAACTAGAGAAATGTTCATAAAATCATACAGTACAGAAGAGGCCCTTCGACCAAAGTGTCTGTACTGCCAAAACTACACTCAGATCTACTCTAACCCCACTTCCAGTCCGAGGCCCATAGCCTTGAATGTTATGACATTACAAGTGTGCATCCAAGTACATTAAACACATTGTGAAATTATCAGCCTGTACTACCCTCCCTGTCAGTGCATTCCAGAATCCCACCACCCTTTGGTGAAATGATTTTCTTCAAACCACCTCCTAAAAGCCTCCTGCCTGTCATGTTAAAAGTGTGCCTTCTTGCTGTTGACTCCTCAACGGGTAACAGATCCTTTCTGTCTGCTCTGTCCGTGTCCTTCATAATCTTACACACCTCCATCAGGTCCCCCTCAACCTTCTTTGTTCCAAAGCAAACAAACCGAGCTTATACAGATTCTCATCATAGCTAAACTGCTCCATCCTAGGCAGTATCCTGATGAATCAGTGAGATCACATCTTTCCCATAGTGTGATGACCAGAGCGAGTTCTCAGAGCAAGGGCAGTGGTAAAATATTGGTGGGAATGTAACTTGTAAATGAGAGAGAGGTTAAGGATGTGGCAGAGGCAGCAAAACAGAGGATATCAATTTTAGTCTGTGAAATCTATGTTGCTGAAGGTGAGGGTGGAGGGGCTAAGGAAATGTAAATATAGCATGTAAAACAGATTAATTCCATATGTTTTACAGTTTAAATGGACATAGCATGAAGCAAATGTACAAAGAAAAGAAATTAAACTGAACCGTAAATATTTTGCTATGACTTCAAATTGCTCAAAATAAGTGAGGAAAAGCATCATCCTAGTGACTGTAAATAGCACAATTACAAAACAAGCTCCACTATCTGAATATTGAAATTTCATCTCTTACTAACCATTTTCTTCTAAGGCATTTTATTCCATTTAGTAGAAAAGTTGACATACTTGTGGCAGAGAAAAAGGAGCAACTCAAACCAGCATTGACTTATGATTTGTGGGAGTAGGGGGTATTACTTGCAATGTGATTATAATGACTTTCTTTTCTCAGGAGGTGTTGATGATGCTGGATAACTACGTGCGAGATTTCAAGGCATTGATAGATTGGTTGCAGCTGCAGGAAAAGTTAGAGAATACAGACGCACGGAACAGGTAATACACTACAGTAGACACCATCTGCTTGAAGTAATTTAATTACTGAATGGGAGATTTATATTCCATTAAACCGGCATTAAATGTTCCAAAGAAGGATGCCTCCTTGTGAAAGGAGACGTTGGAGAGGAACTTTGTCAGCAAAGTATCTGATCTTAAGCAACCTATTAGAAACAACTTTTAAACAGAAGACTTTGGGAGATAAAAGACATGTATCTGATTGTTAGCCCAATTGTAATGTTCTGGGGTGAAGGGGTGACTGAGTACAAATATCAAGATCCTAGTCAATTAATATATTGGGAATGTTTATCTTAGAATGCATTCTGAGGTAAAATCAAATAAAGGCAAGTTTAGACAGTACTATAGAAGAGCACTGCTTACTGCTTATATCTTTTTTGAACTAAAATAGAATAAGAAATTAAAATAGTCTTATAAATAGAGATGGCTTTAGTTACATAATTTATTGTAAACATCAGATTTAGACTCATAGTTGTTCGTGTTAGCAATAGCTTTCTTCAGATGCAATTTATTGTTATTGCAGGTAATGTATGTTCCCTGATGTGCTACATCAACATGCTTTAGAATGAAATGGCCATTATATGAAACTGCATTCATTGTGTTACCTTGTGTTGGAGGCAGAACAGGCCATCCCATCGAACTGGTCTAAACTAGTCTTTATCCTCCTCATAAATTTCCTCCCACTTTACTTCATCTAACCTTATCTAAACTGTTGCGTTTATGGGCAGCAGTGCTGGTAGTGGAGTGTTGCAGTCCGTTATGATGAGAGATGGGAGAGTTGCACCTGACTGTGATGCAAATTACTGTGCCTGTTGCCCCAAAATTAATTCCAACCTGAAAACAAGTAAGCAGATGCAACAATTTCTTGCATTAAGTTTTAAGCTAGTTGTAAGATCCAAGAAAACACAACAACAATCTGAATATTGCTTTGGAAATTGGTACTTCCATTGACCATTAAGTAATCTAGTCTCTATACAGATGCAATCCAAAGTTGCCTAACAACTAATCAGTCTTTCATTGCACCAGGGACTCTCCTAGCAGAGAAGTGTACAGACTGATAATAATTGTTGCTGTTTTCCCAGATCTTGGGATTAGTTTAAGATGTGAATGTTATGCTAGTGTGACATCATGGTGCAACTGCATATATGCAAATGGAACACACACTCTGTTTCTGCATATCCCTCGTGCTCATTCAGCTCCCCCTTAAATTGATACTGCTTGCTTCAAGTACACTCCAGGGCAGTTAGGGATGGACATTAAATAAAGACCAAGCCAGTAATGCCCACATTCCATGAATAATTTTTAAAAAAACATTACTGTGTTCCACACTTTAACAGTTCCCATGAGTGGCAAAATGTATTAGTGGCTACCTTGTGTTTGTGGCCCCTAACTTTGAATCTTTCCCTCACATATGAAAATATCCCTCCTAATCATCCAACTTTAAACCGTTAAAATATTAGCAACCTCTATCAATTTATCTCTCTGCCTTTTTGATTTCAGAGAAAAGAAATCTAGCATTTTAGTCTTTCTAAGTCTTTTAGTCTTAGTTTTTGTTTCATCTTTGAAATTTTTTTTGTATCTGCTCCAGAGTCTCTTTTTGTGTGGATATGGAAACTAGAAGTGAGCACTGTATGCTGAATAAATATATATATATTATATACGTCATATGTATTGCATGCATTCAAGTCTTGACTTACATTCTGTATTGCAGACCCACATCGTTGGCTTGGGAAGTGAGGAAAATGTCCCCTGGACGACATGTTATGCCAAGTCCACCGGCAGACAGAATTTGCACAACGTCAAGTGCTCGAAGAAGTTTAAACTTTGGAGGTCCCAATACCATGTAAGAGTTTCTAGGTTTTCCTTTATGTATGTTGATAATGCAAAAATATTACATCATGCCTATGGTCATGTTTTTGCATCCTTTGTGCTCATGTTTGAAGCCAGAGTCCTACAGTTCTTGGGGATTTAAGTAGTTTGTTTCATGCTGGCATTCTGTAGGAATTACTGGTATGAGAAGAACCTGGAGGAGTTATAACAATGTCATTTCATCAGACATTTCTCAAAATGTCTCAACAATTCAATTTTTAACGTAATTATTTTTATGGAGACAAACATAGCAGCCAATTTGTGCATAACAAGATTCCACAAACAACATGAAATGAATGACCAGTGAATACGTTTTTGGTGCTATTGGTTTAGGAAGGAATGAGAGCTGGAAATTGGGAGATGTCTTGCTTCTCTTTAGGTAGTGCTATGGAATTTTGACGCTGCCTTGAACAGGATAGGCTGAGCTTTCGTTCAAGGTCTCATCCAAAAGATGACATTTTAGGTTATATGCTCATCTAGGTATGGATTTTGCACTTCCAATCTTGCAACTTTAAGGCAAGAATCCTCTCAATAGAACCAAGCTGATTAGCCTACATAATTTTGGTGTTCTGCAAACTGGTTCTAAGTATCTTCTCTGGCGATATTGTGAGAAATGTAATATATCAATGTGAATTAGGGACAAACCTAGTGGCATTGATTCCACCAAGTTCCCCAGATATTGGTATGAAATCTTGTCCTGCCTTTTTTTCTTTTTGGACTTGCTAAGGATTTTAAAAAAAAATCTGAAAAGTTAGTTGCTGATCTTTTTGTTTTATTGTGGCAGAGAGCAGCTCTGTGAAACAAATTCTGTTTTAGAATGGAAAAATGTAGTGTTCTGTGCTGTTTCAAAGTAAGTTTCTGAATTTTTAAAACCTTTAAACATTCAATTGATGTATCAGTGTTTTGAATGAATAAGGTTTGACGTCAGATTACATCAGAACTTATCATCACAGAAGACTAGTTAAATTCCAGTTAATTACCCAAACTTGATATTGTATTGTTATAAAATGCTCTAAATGTGATCTATTTTCCTTGATTAAAAAGTACCATACTTTGGGTTGGATTAAGTTATATTCCAGAGGCAAGTATGAGATTAACACAGGCAGGTTGATCCTTTGTTTAACGTCACCTACTTGGGGCTGCTTTCAATTTATTAAACGCATTACTGCATAGGAATGTTCACGTCTAATTGTGGTTGAAGATTGCTGGAGAGTTGGTTCAATATATGTGTTATTATGTAATGGAAATATCTCAGGAAATGACTATTGATTATCAGAGTACTGTAAATGTTGACTGGTATTGATATGTACATTTACATTGAGCACAAATGGTAGTTTAACTCGTGTCACGGAACAGCTGAAGTAAACAAAACAATATTTAATGTGTTATGGTTTATGCATTCTGCTTTACTGGGTTAATTGTTAATGAGTAACATTAGAGTCCAAAAGTACAATTACGTTGGACATTGAGTAGGAAACGTGCCAATATTGCCATTTCAAATGCACAGATGATTTAGCCTATAGTAAATGTAGTGTTGGTATATCAAAACTCTTGTTTTTCTTTTATATTTGCTATTATAATTTGTAACTCATGCACTTATTTTTAAAACAGAATTCATTTTAAAAGCTTCAATAAGCAATGGCCTAAGTGGTATTATCATTGGACTGTTAATCCTGAGACATGGGTAATGGACTGGAGACCCATATTTGAATCCTGCCAAGGCAGATTGTGGAATTTTAATTCAATATAAATCTGGAATTAAGAATATAATGGTGGCTGTGAAACTGTTGTTGATTGTTGGAAAACCCATCTGTTTCACTAAGCCTTTTAGGGAGGGAAACTGCGATCCTTACCAGGTCTAGCCTACGTGTGACTCCAGACCCACAGCAGTGTGGTTGACTCTTAACTACTCTGCACAATTAGGGATGGGCATAGCCAACCATACCCTCATCCCATGAATGAATTTAAAAGAACTTTGACTATACTAGTTTTCTACGTAAAGTCAGTTACTTTTATCTGGAATCCAATTGGGTTTAATTTAGATTCAAGTGTGAAGGATTTCTGGAATGTCTTTGGCTGTCAGTACTGTGAACTTTGTATGTTTTTTCATATTTACATCACGTGTGCAGCTCGGGCTGCAACAGGGAAATCTGTATGTGCAGATATTTTAAATTTGTAAAGTGCAACTTTAGTACTATCTGGAGGAGTTTCTCTGATGTTTGGAAAATGTCTGTACAGGTCGGTAGTGAGAAAGCCACAACATTAATTTGTTCAGGAAACAACAACTATTGATCCCATTAATAGTATCATTACATTGTGGCTCAAATGGTATTCAGATCCTGGGGAAGGAAGAATTTGGAAGAGGTAAAGGATTTGGGACAGTACTTTTAAAATTTATTAAAGTTGACATCGGAAATATACATATTTCCTATAAATGTAAAATAATTGCTTTTATGGAAAGATTCAAAGCATTTCATAACCAATCAAAGACTTTAATAAGTAACCATCATAATACAGGCAAATGCAGCATCTGATCTGTGCAAATCAAGATCCCAGGAGCAGCTATAGTATGATTTTTAGTTGTGCAATAAATATTTTGTCATAATATTATGGAGTGAGAGTTAATTGTGGGTTAGTGTGGTAACAGTTAGTGTGGCTGAGAAAGTGCTTGTATATTGTATGTAATGGAAATTTGAGGATGTAGATTTTTCAGAAATCAGGCATCATTGCGTTAAGCTGAAAGCTGTTGAGTTTATATTCTTTTTATTTCCATTAGTTCTTTATTTTTTGGTTATCCTCACTGATTCAATCTAATTCTAGTTAATTTTCCATTTAGGGCAGCCCCTCCAGCTTTGGTAGCAGCTCGTCTTGCCCCGTCTGGTGTCAGTTGGGCAGACAAAGTCAAGGCTAATCGGGCAAATACAGTTACTCCAAAACACAGCCGAAACAACTGTCAAAAGTCTTCACAGCGGAGCAGATTGCATCCAAATGGTGAGTCTTAATTAATATATTTACAAAATTAAAAGCAGACTGTGCTGATAACACTCAATAGGTCAGGTGGAGAGAGAACAGAGCTAATGTTTCAGCTCAACTACTTGCCATCAGAGATAGTAGGAACTGCAGATGCTGGAGAATCCAAGACAACAAGGTGCAGAGCTGGATGAACACAGCAGGCCAAGCAGCATCGTAGGAGCAGAAAGGCTGACGTTTCGGGCCTAGACCCTTCATC